TCCTTCGGTGCACATGCCCTGTAGTGAATTTTAAAATAAAATAAGTGTCCGCTTTCTTGAATTATAATGGCTATCCTGAAGCCTGTATTTTTCTTGAGTGTTTACTGTAATTGCCTCTTCGAGGGGAGACTTTGCATTTCAGAGTCGTAGCTATCTCGCAAATAGCATTTCATTTGGACGTTCTGTTGCTGTTGAAATACCGTCAAAACAAATATCAGGAGTGTCAATATCTAAGAAAAAGTGAGAGATTACTTGGTCGCCTACGTGGCTAAGACTTCTGGACCACACCAGAATACCAACGGGGTTAAAGGAGACTAGCGAGGAGCAGTGCCGGGCCCAGCACCAGCGATATCATCGGAGTCAGTTTCCACCTGGGCAACTGCCCTGTCCCGAAGCGCGACTACCCGGGCTTCGAGGAGCGGAAGTGACTTAAGTAGTCTAGGTCTTTAAAAACATGCTCGGGATCAGCAGTTGGAGTAATGGCTATGTTGTTGGGCTCCCATGTAGTCGACTGTGGTTCGAGTCCCTGCCCTGGTGACTTAAACTCACGCCGGGCGTGTGCGCATGTGTGTGCGTGTGCCCAAGATCCCAAGAGGAGAATGGAGGAGAGGGGATTGCAATGTGGCCAACCCCCCTGTGATTTCTGTCTCTGCCTCTCTCTGTCTCTCTGGCAAGCACATGTGCCCTATAGGAAAAAAAACCTCTTGCCACCAGGCAGAGTGAGGCACGAGCATGACACAGTCTCACAGAAAGTCCCTGTGACTCACAGCACCTGTGGCTCTGGGACTCGCTCTCCCCTGCGGCACCTGGCCCCGAGTCACACTCAGCCGCCCACCCTGACCTGGAGTTCCCAGCCTCTGTCTGTCAGAAGTAAGTGCTGGCCTTTAAGCCACCCAGGATGTTTGTTTCAGCTGCCCGGACCAAGCGAGCTCTCCTAGCCGCTGGGCAGCCAGGATGCCGGCCTGAGCCCTAAGCTTTGCCATTCCGACTCCCAAGGCAAGACGTCTTCAGAGAAACGTTCACAAGGAGCTCACGCAGACCCGTAAAGCTGGAAAGATAGGCCTTGATGCGTTTAGGGGCCGTGAGGACGCAGGGCCCAGCATGCCGCTCCACACCAGGGAACACAGCACTGGTGGCTGACACTGCGCGGTGCACAAGGAATTTTTAAACCCAGAGTGGTAGTGTATAAAATGACAGCTGAAAGTTTTAAAGTCTAACTAAAATCTATGGTCACAGAGAATCAGGGATTTCCAGTGGATGTAACCTACAACCAATTCATATTATATACAGAAAGGGAGCACATGAGCTGTGGTATAGCCACGCCGCGGAGTACTATACAGCGGCTAACAGGGAGAGTGGGAAGAGAGGGTACACGCTGCTGCATGGGATGAGAGGAACAGTAACTAGGGCCAGTGTGTGGTGTAGCGGTGACTCACTGGACTCCCACGTGGCTGACCACGGTTCGAGCCCTGGACCAGGTGGCTTGAAATTCACACTGGGTGCATGTGTGTGTGTCCAAAATCCTAGGAGAATGGAGGAGAAGGGATGGTGGTGTGGACATGCCCCCCCCCGGGGGGGGTGATTTCTCATTTTCCCTCTCTGTATCTCTCTTTGTGTGTCTCTCCAGCGAGCACACGTGCCCAATGGTAAAAGCAAACAAACAAAAAGAATAAGAGTAACTTCGGCAGTTTGAAGCCAAGAAAGGAAGACTTGGCATACACAGCCTGCGAGCCCGTACTTGGCCTAAATCATACAATCTTTGGGGTCACTACTGGTGAGCTCGCGCTCAGGAAATCGCGTGGCTTGTCCTGGGAGGCCCAGCGACCCCTTGGCCTTGCTGTAAGTTGTCAAATGCAAACGTGTGGTAGAAACAGGGTCACTTACGATAGGTGACATCTAGTTCCGTGGACACTCCGAGGTCAGTCTACGACTTCGTGGGGCGTGTTTGGCACAGACAGCAGCCCTCTGTGGTCATTTAGGTCACACACAGGCCCACGGGACACCAGGCATGCAGCAGAGGGCGTGGACCCAGACACCTGTCCACAGGGGGCCCAGGGCTCCAGGTTCCCTAGAGTATTGTTATCAGAACCTGAAATGTGTCACCGATCTTCACTTCTTCGTGGGAAACGAAGAGCCTAAGCACTCCTGTGGCTGAGCCTGATGAGGCCGAAGGCCTCCTTGTCTCTGGGTAGAAAAGTAGCCCTCAGTCAGGGCAGCACCCGCTGGGCATGGGCGAGGCCCCTGTTCTAACACACAGCGGGTGTTTGGGGGGCCCACACGGAGTTCAAGCCACCTTCCACTTCCCCTCCCCCTCCGAGGATTCCCCGGCCACTCCTAAAAGGACTTATTCAGAAAGAAAAGCTCAGGTTCCACCGAGATTTGAACTCGGATCGCTGGATTCAGAGTCCAGAGTGCTAACCATTACACCATGGAACCACACGGTGGCACTCGTGCTGGCGCTGCCCTGACAGTCCCGGTCGGTCTCTGAGCGCACCCGCCCAGCCTCCGTTCCTCCGTGTGTCGCCCAGCTCAGCAGCTCCCGCGCGCACGTGTTTTTGCTCCAAAGCCCGGGGCAAGTGGGTCTGCAGCGGCGGGCGCGGCGGGTCTCCTGCTCAGCCGGCTCGCCCAGGCCCCTGCAGCCC